ATTTTTTTTTTTAGGTTTCGGAGGGGTCGTTTGCCTTCCTTTTGGGGGTGGGGGGGGTGGATTTGGTTGTCAAGGGCCCCCCAGCCTAGAGGGGGAAGACACTTTCCCCCCTTTTTCTTGGAGCTGGAGAGGACACGCATTTTTGGGTCGAGCTTTTTGCTGCAGCTGGTTTCCCTGCAGCGGGTTTCCCTGCAGCGGGTTTCCCTGCCCAGGTAGACTCGATTTTTGGGGGGCTGTTAGTACACAGCACGAACTTCCCCCCCCCCCGATTTTGGTGTTTTGGTGACGCAGGCCTCCAAGCTGAGGAGGGGCCGCCCGCCCACACCCAGGGGGGCTTTATCCAGACCTTCAGCTTTTGGGACCTGCCCCTGCTCGGGCTGGGGGTGCCCATCCTGTTGTTGGGGGGGGCGCTAAAGTTTTTTTCCATTTGGGGGTTCGCCAACTTGGGCGGGCCGCGGAATTTCCGCATTTCCTTGGGGATCCAGGCGGGCCCGGTGTGACCCCCCAAAGGGGGGTGTGGTGCCCCCCCCCCCCCCCCCCTTTCCCTTGTTCCACTCCGGTCCTTCATGACGCCGCCGCCGCTGTACCCTCCGCCGCCGATCGTGCCTCCTTTGCCGCCGAGCCACCCTCCCTCGCCGCCCGGGCCCGAGGCCACCGCGCTCGACATCTCCCTCATCGTCGCCGTCCTCCTCGCGGCGCTGCTGCTGCAGCAGGCGCTCAAGTCGACCCGCATCGCGTCGCAAGTGGTGACCGGCTCCGGCCTGTGCATGCTCCTCGGCGCTGGCGTCAACCTCCTCCTCTTCTTCTTCTCTCAGCAGAGCGCCGACCTGCTGCCGGTCGCCGGCCAGCTATCGCTCGACACCGAGGCCTCCGGCTCACTCGCGCACGACGTCATCTACTTTGGCCTGCTGCCGCCCATCATCTTTGAGGCGGGCTTCCACATGCGCAAACGGACCTTCTTTGCAAACTTCTTCACCATTGCGGGCTACGCCGTCGGCGGCACGCTCATCGCGCTGCTCACGACCGGCTCCCTCGTCTACCTCCTCTCCTCCGCCTCTGCCACCTCGACCCGCTTCACGCTGGCGCAGGCGATGGTCTTTGGCTCGCTCATCTCATCCACAGACCCCGTCGCCACCCTCGGCGCCCCGACGCGCGTGCGCGCGCCGCCGCCGCCGGCGGCACCCTCACCGACTTCTCGAAAGCGCCCTGTAGGCATCCTCAAGCACGTGCGCGCCGCGCCGCTCCTGCACGACCTCATCTTTGGCGAGTCGGCGCGCAGCGATGCCCTCTTGACACAAGCTTCAACTCGCGTGTAGTGAGTGGAAACAAATGTCACGCGACAGGCGCTCAACGATGCCCTCTCGATCGTCCTCTTCAACGTCGCCGTCGCGCAGCGCAAGACTGCAGCGACCGCGTGAGACCGCCGCGATCACACCCGCGGCGCGGCCCGAGAGCATAGGTGTTCTTCGCGTACACAAAGTCGCCGCTCGCCGACCAGTCCGACGCGGGCGTCGCGCGCGCGATCGGGTGGGTGCTCACCGACGTGCTGCGCGCGCTGGCCGGCTCCGTCTCGCTCGGCCTCGCCCTCGCTCTCGCGTGCGCATACCTCACGCGCCGGCTCAAGGCGCTGCACGGCACGCCGCGCGCCGCTTCGCACGCGCGAGCTTAGCCGAGATGAGCCGAGATTGGCCGAGATTGGCCGAGATTGGCCGAGATTGGCCGGGGTGGCCGCGGACGCGCAGTCAGCCCTGGATGCGAGATGCGGGTCCGCGCATCCTGACTAGCACTCGAGATCTCTGCCTCTTGCCGCCTCCCCCGCAACACACCGCCCGCACTTCCGCCTCACACCGCCACGCACACACCGCGCCGCGCCGCCGCACACACACACCGCCCTCCGCACCGCTTTCGCGACCGAGCCAGCCCGCCGGACCCTGCCCGCGCTTCCCTGCGCCGTAGGCGCTCGAGCTCGCGTTGCTGCTCGGCTTTGCGCTGCTCGCCTTCACCTTCTCGGAGCGGTGCGGCGTGTCGGGCGTCATGGCGCTCTTCTTCTGCGCCGTGGCGATGCGGCACTACACGTACTACAACCTGAGCAAGGTTGCGCAGCACTCCGCGTCGGTCCTCTTCACCACCCTCTCCGAGGTGCCCGGGGCGTCGCTCGCCGTCCTCGTCGCGTTTCTTCTTCACGCCGCCGAATCTCTTCGTCTAGGTGTCCGAGGCGTCGCTCGCCGTCCTCCTCGGCGTCGCGGCGGTCGACTACGTCGTCAAGGGCCACCCAGCCTAGAGGCGGAAGACACTCTCCCCCCTCTTCACTCGAGCTCGAGAGGACACGCAGTTCTGCGTCGAGCTCTCTGCTGCAGCTGGTTTCACTGCAGCTGGTTTCACTGCAGCTGGTTTCACTGCACACGTAGACTCGATTCTTGGGGTGCTGTTAGTACACAGCACGAACCTCACCCCCGCCCGAGTCTGGTGTGTTGGTGACGCAGGCCTCCAAGCTGACGACGCGCCGCCCGCCCACACCCACGGCGGCATCATCCAGACCTTCAGCATCTGGGACCTGCCCCTGCTCGCGCTGGGCGTGCCCATCCTGCTGCTCGCGCGCGCGCTCAACGTCTTCTCCATCTCGGCGCTCGCCAACCTCGGCCGGCCGCCGCATCTCCGCATCTCGCTGCGGATGCAGGCGGGCGCGGTGTGAGCCCCCAAAGCGCGGTGTCGTGCCCCCCCCCCCCCCCCCCGCGCGCCCCGGGCGCGAATGTGTCCCTGGAAGCGTCCCCCAAACCTCCACCGCTCTGTGTAAGCGTCCCGCCCCGGGCCCCTCTTTAAGTGGGGATGTGGTTCCCGGGCATGCCTGGGGCCCTCTCCTTTTGGCTCGCCATCACTTTTGCCCCCCCAACCGGGCCCCAACCGGAAGCTGCATGGAATGTCCCCCTCGTCACCACCACCCTCGGCCTGATCCTCTTCCTCAACCTCTGCTGGGCCCCCTTCACCGGCAGGCTCTCCCCCTCCCCCTCCCTGACCTCCCTCCCACCCCCACCCCACCCCACCA